ACTCAAAATACATTTAAAAGGTAAAAACCTGAGAAAGTCAATTTAAAAGAATGGAAGGGAATGAAGTAAACTGCTATAAACAAAGCAGAACATTCTGCCTGCCTGTGGCACCAGGGGCAAGATAAAAGAGGATCTGCCCTTTGGCCTGAAGACCGGTGTCAATACCGACAGACGTCAAGCACACCTCCCGCCTTGGGCTCTCAGTAATGGACAATGATCCCCACTGCTTCAGGCGGCAGCATGGGGCACAGCTCATCACCAGCTCTCTGGACAATGTCACAGGTCCTACAATGAAGAACTTGGCAGAGGGGGACTTCCTAAGAGTCTTCCTAGGGCCTGACTGGGGAGACAGTGGTCTGCACAGAGCTCAGAGACCTAAAGGACGGTTACTTGTGCCCCAACCCTCTGCTTCCTGTCTTTTTCCTGTGCACACGAGTTGTGTGATCCTTAGGGAAAGAACCCTGGACTTTTGGGGTCCCCTGAAGCACACTGGTAGCACAAAGAGTAATGTCCCCAATATATAGAGTTCCTATAGAGCAGTAAAAAAAACATGACAACAAAGTATTTCCACAGGTCATTCAAACAAGGAAACTACAAGTGGCTTTTAAATGTATAAAATGGTGCTTCCTTAATAAGCATCTTGGGAGGGCCGCTGAGTCAGCACTGCTGGTCAGAAGTCCACTTTCCTTCCACAGCAACATTTTCCCAGACATCCTGAGGGCCAATTCAATTTGAATGACCAAGTCTCACCATAAAAGTGTTCACAAAGCAACTCAACAAGAGAGCAGAGGGCTCATACTCAATTCACCTCCACTGCCCTCAATGTCTAGATGAAGAGACAATAAAAAGTTTTTTAGAAAAAGGGAATAAATTCAGCATAGTGTCAGGAGGGAATGTGGCAGGCAGCAGGAGACGGCTACGTCCACACCTGCTCCAAGACCTCTTCTCCTTCATGCTCTTTACTTCTTTTTCCAGCCTCCCTTGCAATGTGGGTGCCCAAGTGATTTGCTGACTGCCTGTGCAGCAACTGGCTTCTGGGAGAGCTTTTTTTTCTGGTAAGAGGGGTGGATATTGTTGGCACTGGCTTCCTCCTGTCCTTCCTTGAACTTGGACACAAAAGCCAGCTTATGACCATGAAGGAAAGGCTAGGAGAATTGCAGAGATACAGGCTGCTACCTACCTCCAGCTAACATATTTAGAGGAGAGAAAAAAACTATTTTAGCTACTACTGGATGGAATACCATTTGCCCGCAGCTCTAAGTATTTGTCATGGATACCAGGGACCACAAACAGACCAGCAATTTTAGGCAGTTTACAGAAGGTAGAAAGTAGGTGGGACCACATTGATGGTGCTCCTGGGAAAAGCCCCAGTGAAGTGTCCTGCTTGGAGTTGGCAAAAAACAAGGAGCAGGAAGGACAGGGAGAGGAGAGTGCATGGCCGTTAACTGGTGGCCAGTCTGTGCCCACTTACCTCGCACCACACTAGCCTAGAGTGTTGGCCTTCAGGCTAAAAGAGAGACTGCCAAGCAGAGCTTGGGCTGATGTCCCAGACTAAGGCTCCCAGAGTGCCTGCCGGGTCTCAAAGTGAAGCCCCCATATCTTGGGTTTGTCAGGCACGTATCCACCTGTCTCCCAGCCAGCAGATGCCCTGTCAGGCTGCCCCAGAGGTGGGTGTGCTGGGGAAACAGCTCTACTCCTGCAGGTGATTCAGAGCAATCTTCCTGTTGAGGGTGGGGGACAAACCTGGACAAACAGAAACAGCTCTGAGAGAGCTAATGTGCTAGAGATGAAAGACAAAGTAAACGGTATCAGGAAGGAAGACATCCAAACAGGGAGGCCTTCGCCTTGGGAACATTTATTGATGAGGAAGAGCCTGCGTGTATTTCTGCCAGACTTGAGGCCCTGGGAGGACCAAGAAGAAGGCCAAGGTGAAAGTGGGGGGTCCCTGGGATATAATCCCTCATTCATGCTGGCACCCCAAAGGATGCACCCTCGAGTAAGGGTGAACTGGAAGTAAACCAGCTCACACACCAACTAGTGCCCAGCCTGCAGTCCCTGGACTGGGCTGAGGGCCCTGCAGTGCTAGTGCCTCAAGAGCTGGCAGCAGAAAATGCAGGTGTACATCATGTGAGGCTGCAAACCATTTCTACAAATAATTTTCAAATACCATATCCAGCAGAGTTAAAAATGACCAGGTACCTGAGGAAATAAGATAATATGAGTGAGAAGCAGCAGAGACATTCACAGGCGACAGAAACAGACCTACAAGGGCTCCTGGTACTACAGCGGTCAGACACACAGCTCTGACATCGGCTGACTCAGCTTATACGACTACACACATAAAAGACTAAATTGAGTATCTGAGGGAATTGAAACTATGAAAAATGATACAGCAGATTTTAAGAAAAGAGGACACGACATCTCTCTGATGATGGGGAAAATGGAAGGGATGATAAAGAGAACAAAGGAAAATCCACAGAATGAATGACAAGGACTCGTGAATCTTCAAAACACCGTGACAGGATCCCCAAAGAACTTACAAAGCGATGAACATAAAACTGGCAGCAGAGATTTTAGCAACAACACGGATGCTGAAAGTCTGTGGCACCATACCTTCAAAGACAGTGGACTTTGAACTTAGGATTCTATTAACCAATCAAATTAAGACCCATTACAACAAAATAAAGATGGAATAAAAACCACAGGAGGCCAAGCACACACCAAGGCCTGCAGAGCTGTGAAGACTGACCCTCCAACCTTTGTGACCTTGACTGCTTTCCCCCTCCCACTGCCACTCTTGGCTGTTCCCCCTGCAGTGAAAGCCCCTCCACCTCAGGGCCTTTGGACTCGCTCTTCCCTCTGACTGAATGTTGCCCCCCAGGGATCTGTGGGGCTTCACCCCTCACCTTTTCTGGTCTCTGCTCAGTCAGTCAGGGAGGCCTTCCTTCATCACCCAATATAAAACAGCATCCTGTCGGCATTCCATATCCCCCATCCTCTTTGCTTTTGTTCACAGCACCCCTCCCCATCCAACTTAGTACCTGTACTTGCTCATTTGATTGGAATCTGCCTGTCTCCACGAGAACGTAGGTCCACGAAGGCAGGGCCCCTGGAGGCCTTGTGCACCGCTGCCCGCCCTGGGCCTGCGCCCACGCAGACAGAGCTCAGAGGTGACTCTGTCATTCATCAGTGACTGACTAAAGCAGCGGAACTGCCTTTGGGTCCACGACCTCTCCCATCCCTGCTCCTGTCCCACCTCAGTCAGTGTACTGGCATCCGTCTGTGGCAGCCGAGAAAATCCGGAGGGGACCGCACGGTCATCACTCTCTCCCCCTCACCGACTCCGCACCCACTCACCCACCCGCCGCCCAGCACATCTCGCCAGTCTTGCTGGTTCTGCCTCTAAACCACATTGAATCCGTCTCTTCTTCCCTCTGCACAGCGAGCTCACCGATCCGCGTCCCGTCCACCTACTGCTGGGACTATTGTAAAAACCAGCCGGCTGCTTTTCCATGTCGGTTCACATCACCTCTGCACAAACTCCTCCAACGGCTCCTGTTGCTGAGACGAGAACTCCAGGGACCCACTGCCTGCTCCTACCTCTCGCCTCATCTCACACCACCTTCTCCTTTGCCTACTGTGTACCTTGCCCGCGTCACATCTGCTGTCACCTCTTCCTGGAAACTCGCCAGGCTGCGGCGCGGCCGGCTCGCTGGTATCCTTGGGTTGCACCCTCAGGGTCCTCTCCCGAGGCCTTCCCTGGCCACTCTTTCCCAGGCACGCTTATCTTCTTGCTCTGCTTATTTTCCTTCTCAGCACAATATAGTCTAGAACTATCTCACCGACTGACCGAACTGCTTCCTTTCATGTCTGCCTCTCTACGGGACTGCGAGTTCTGTGAAGGCAGGGAAGGACCGTCCATCCTCTCTACACAAGGAATCCACAGCCCCTGGCAGGCAGCTTTCCTTAGCTTAGGTGCCTGGCTGAGTATTCCTTAGGCCTCTGATGCCAGGCCCACCTCCTGCCAGGGGTGCAGTGCTGGCACCCAACCCTTTCACTGATGCTGGGACTGAACGCACTGTGCTGGTGAAGCCTAATGTGGAAGAATTTCAAAGCGCTTTGGCTTATTTAAAAACACGTCCACCTTTACTTTTCAAGAGAGTATTCTTGTGGCAAGAATGAAAGAAGCACCTACCACTACCGTTGACTCCCACTGGCTTCCAGTGGAGTAGTGAACCGGACCCAGTAAGTCCTTGCATATTTCTCGGAGTCGGTATTCAAACCCTAATTACAGAAAAAAACAAACAAAAAAACAAAAGAACAGAACAAAACAGAAATAGGAACACATTACAAAAAGAAATAAAAAATCAAGAATATGCTAAGTTGTTGTGGATATCAAAGCAGACTGAACCAATACTTATTTTATTGCCTACAGTGGGCAAAAAGCCTCTTGCACGTCTCTGGGGCGCTGAGACCCATAATGACAGATTCTCACTCACTCACCCTTGACAACAAATGGAGTGGCCCCTCTGTGTGCTGGGCCCACAGGAAAAATGAGACTTAGCCATCTCTGGGATAAACTCCCCAAGGTAATGGGAAAGCATAGGAAATTGTGGATGGAGGGGAGTGGGCTAGTCAGATTTGAGAGAAGATGTCCTGGCAGCAGTGTGAGGGGTGGCTGGCAGGGTCAGGATGCAGCCTGCAGGAGGTAAGAGATGGCAAGGGGATAAATTCAGACTGAGGAGGTGGTGACTGAGCGGAGAGGACAGGAGAAGCAGGCGTGGGCCCATCGACTCAGGTTATGGGCACAGCCACGCAGAGTGCGAGAACGTTGGAGGCAGAATCTGGGGGTCTGTAGGCACTGGGGGCAGCTGAAGCTGTAGGGAATGGATGAAATCACCCACAGATGAGGGTGGAGAGTAAGAGGATGAAGCTGGAATCAGTGGAATTTTAGGAGTGGGGTCTTCCTTTAAAACTTGAGTCCTCCTTTTACGGTTGAGGAAGCAAGGGACAGAGAGGAGGTGACTTGTGTATGGACACTGGCACAGATGCGTGGAAGAAAGAGAAGCAAGCAGAAGTGATCCCACAAATGGTGGCAGGCCCCAGAGGCGGCGGTGACCTTATGCGGGGCAGCAGGGTGAGCGCTGACCAACACCAAGATGGAACCAGCCAGAGAGGAGCCAGAGGAGAGGGTTCTCCGGAGGAATGGGTGTGAGGCCGCATGTGCCTGGAGCACCTGGCAAAGGTGTGGGGGCCTGGGGAGACCGAGCACTCAGGACGGTCAGCGACCACACAGACTGAGCAGGAAGAGTGCACGAACTCATTACTGGAGCCTGCCGGGAGGAGGAGGGCCCTCGAGTCGGTGAGCCATGCCTGTTGTCGTCAGGGGTGAATGCACACAGTCACGTCATCAGAGGCCACATGCTGCTGCCAGGAGACGCCTGCCCCAGGGTGACTGGCTCCCTGCCCACTAACACCCCAGGGTGCGAGGGAGGTGGGGTGGGCATCACGCCTGCACCTTCAGAGCACGTCCTTCCCTGCATCCTCACCCCACCCCTGCCCACGGCCTGTCCTCCACTCAGGGGCTCGGAGCCTGTGGAGGGGTTGGGGGCCTGAAGAGCTCAGGCTGGGAGATGGGGAACGGAGGGCCCACCTTGCTGCCAGGGAGCCAGAGTTCAGATGGCCCAAGGCCACTGCACCTCAGAAGGCTCAGAAGGGACAAGGGCTGAGCTGGGCGCGAGAGGCTGGAGGGGCCACCAGGGGCCTCACCTTCATTCACGAGGTACCTCGCATAGAGGAGGAGCCAGTGGCGGTACTCGTGGCTGGACCGCAGGGTGAGCGCTGCTGCGACCTGACTCTCCAGGTAGGCCAAGGTGGTCTCCCGCTGCACCGCGTGAGGCACGGAGAAGAGCCGGGCTGCCTGCCTTCCCGAGCTGCGGAGACCAACACAGCACACACCGTGAGGCCGAAGCTGTCCCAGTGCGCCCCAGGCACCAGTGAGGAGCAGAGGTGGGCAGGCGTCAGCTCCGTCCCAGCCAAGGCCGTCCTGGTTACGCTGGCTACCCCAGATGTATCCCACTCTGCACCTGCCCTCCTGGCTGGAGGTGGCAGGCCAGTAGCCCATTCCCCTCACTCAAAACACTGCCTAACGTGGGTGTTTCTGACCTGTAGCACACCAGACAGCCATCTGGGCTCTCAAGTGACAGGGCTTATGCCCCAGCACCCTGAGATATTAGCCCATGTGGGCCCACAACCCTTGGCCCCCTCAGCCTGCCTGGCTGAGCAGTGGCTGGGCACATGAACAGGCAATCAGAGTGGGCCTGGGTAGGACTGTGCCTTCCTGACCTGGCCACCTTCCCCAGCACTCGGGTTACCTACGTGGAGGCACGACCCTGGACTATGGCTAAGGGTCCCGAGCACAGCATGGCATCCTGGGGAGGCAGGCTGCTCCTGAAGTCCGCACATTGGGCCAGGGAGTCCTGCTTGTCAGAAACGAGGTTCCTGGGAAGACAAAGGGAGGAGCAGAGGTCAGAACTCGGAGGCTGCCAGAGGCTGGTGACAGGGCTGCCAAGAAAGCAGCACCATGTGGCCTGCCAGAACACCAGTGGAGGCAGAGTGCCACTGCATTCTCAGCACAGGGCCCCGCTGGGGCAGGTTTCACCGCAGGAAACACTGGGGACAGTGAAGGTCACTGGCTGGGTTCTTGCTTCAGCCTGGGAACGGTTCAGCCCCACGGTCTCTGTTCTTGGGGACGGGGGCCTGTGTGTGAAGTGTGCCTGGGATGCCTGCCTGCCCGGGGCCCACATGGCCCGCCCTCGGAAGCTTTAGGGAATGCCAGGGGTCTAGTGTCCTGAGCTTCCACAGCGGCCAATCAGGCAGTGAGCTCTTTACCTTCTCTGGACCCTTCATATATCTGTGAAGAAAACATTCTTCACGCACTTTTAAAATAGCCAGGTGCCTTTATAAATGTGTCTGAAATATGGAGTCAACATTTCCCTTCTTAAACAACCATGTTGTTCCATTATTACATTAATCACATAATACATAACATTTTGTAATTTGGAAGAGCAGGGAGTGGGGAGTTTTAGGATTTTTTTTTTTAAACTCAAGAAAGAGATCTCAGTGTGAGGATAACCTTGTGCCTGGCGACTGGAGCAGAGCAGAGCCGCGAGGCAGAGCCTGGCCGCAAGGACCAGAGGGGCAGGCGGAGGAGGAGGGTTTCTGATTGGCTGCTACATGACATGCACGATCCGTAGGTCTGGGTTAATACCTCTGACGAATAGAAAAGGGCCCCGAGCTCCGAGATGGGCAGAGGAAAGGTGCTGACCACCACACGTGGTGAGGGACGGGTCAGCCTCACCGAGGCACAGAGTTAGTGGGAAGTACCACTCGGCTCCTCTGTGCGACAGAAATGGACGAGTGGTGGCAAAGCTGTTGTGAGGCTGACTCACCTATGCCAGCGATAGCTAAGAAGGCCGGGCTGGAAATAAGATCGAGAACCATGACCATTTCCAAACGCCTATTCTAAACAAAGCAACCCAGAGAGCAATGTGGAAGAAGGAAGGTGTCCCTGTGCACAGGCCCTGAGGCAGAGAGGCCGGGGCCAGGAGCCCCCCCAGGACAGCGGGGCCTGTACCAGCAGGTTTGAGACCCACCTTCCGTAGCACACAGAGCCCTGCAGGGCTGTCCCTGTGGCCTCCACTCTAGGGTCTGAATCTCAGAAGCCAGGCCGGGCAGGCCTGCCAGGACCAGGAGCCTTTGTTCAGCCACCCTGGGCTCCAGCTCAAAAGGACACTCCCCCAGGAGGGCTGGGCTCAGGGTGGCCTGCTTACCATGTGGAAAGTGACGGATCAAAGCAGTATGCTTTCCCATCGGACAGGTTCATCACTGGGATTCCGTGCTGCGTCAGCAAGATCTGTGACACTGTCATATCACTTCCTGGGGAGACACCACAAGAACGGGTCTGCGCTGTGTTCTGATCGGCGCTCACACCAAAGGCCGAGTCTGAACGTGGCCCCACGGTGCCGCAGCAGGCGCCTCAGGACTGACACAGTGGCCAGTGGCGCGCTGCTCCGCTCTGCGTGTGCTGCTCTCACCACCACCCACCAGTCTCTCGGGCGCCTCTTGAGGACTGGTTCAAATGTGCCCCCGAGAGGCTGTGTCTCCCCACAGCATAACTGCACACCCTGCTGGGCTGGGCCCAGGGCCTGTTCCCCATCAGACCTGGGACTTGAGCGGCCCGGCCCCGATACCCTCCACCCACCCAGGGAAGGCCCACTGCTGAGGTTACCTGCCAGGATGGAGTGGAGAGACTCTTCTTTCACCACAACTACCTGCCTGTGAACATCCCTATGAGGCAGACAGGAAACAGCTTACTCTCCAGCTGGGGTAAATGCCTCAGAGCACGCTTGGTGCTCAGACATGGTGCACACCCACCCCCGGGCTCTCCGGAGACGGTTCTGGGCCACAAGTGGCTTTTGCCCCCCATGGGCCACTATACTCCCTCCGCATAGCAGAAGGCCTAGGCAACAGAACTGTGGGGCCTGCCACCAACACCACGCCAACTCTGGAAGATGTGTGGCCACGTTCTGGCAGCTGAGATACCATTTCTGGACATTGGACATGCAATCAGGCACCGTGACTGTCACCCGATTTGCTCCTGTAAGGACGGTAACAGGGGCCAGGCAGCCTGCCCGACTTCCACTTGTACATCTTCCCGCCCCCGACACAGGGTGGCCACCAGAAACAATGTGCGACTTATCATGGCCTTCACGGGCAGTAAGATCCCCGGGCCAGCAGGGCCCGAGGACGTATCTGCTGGGGAGCTCTACAGAGCCCCATCCTGCCTGGAGCCTGGCCCACCCCAGGCCTGCCTCTCACCAGACGGACAGTGTGGCCGCAGCAGTGAGTGCCATGACGTAGGAGC